GCAGTATTGGCGGGATCCTGCCAGGTCTTGCCTCACATTCAAGGGCCTGTCCCTTTATGTTCACTTTATTAAAAGCCTTAGTGCATTTCAGGGATAAGCTGTCCTAGCCAGTGGAAGGAATTCTTCTGTTCTCAGGAAGCGAGGGGTGGCCAGCCGGCCTAAAGGCTTGACCTGCGCTTTGGCGCTCGATTCCAGCCTCGGGGGTCGATGCCTTCTTCTAACTTTGTCTGCAAACAAAGCTATTTTGAGGATCACCAGCTGAGGAGGAGGAAGGAAGAAAGCTTTATCGAACCTCAAAGCTGCCGTAGGGGTCTGCAGTAACCACAGCAGCGTGTTAGGGGTAAACGTAAGGTGAATCAGGGACAGGGGTCCCCCTGGTCCTTCAAATTCACATGCACCCATCTCGCTCCCTGCTGCCATGCTGGGTTCCCAACGGAGAGCTGCTTGCTCAAAGCTTGTCTATCTGGGGGAGGGTGGCTTCTGCGACCCATGAGGCAGGGCGTGCGGCTGCCCCCATCCTGCACCCAGCTTGGTGACACCGGCAGGTGCACCAGGTCCTGTCCTCACCTGCCCTTTGGGCATGCTGCTGTCCAGACAGCGATAACAGCCCATTGCCCTGCTCCCCAGGAATGCTCACATGGGGGCTTTGGACAAGCAAAGTTGATAAGAAGACATCTGGTGAAGGCAAGTGAGCCACTGGCATTTGCTACTTTCCAGTTGGGAAAAGGCTGCACGTGCTCTGCTCCTGCATGGAGGGATCGTGCGAGGGCTGCAAACGCCCCCCAAGCATTGGAAAAAAATGCGTGGTTCGTGTCACCGGCATGTGGGGGGCTGCTTGGGGGCTCTCATTTCAGAAGCGATTTGTGGAAGCATCATTATCGAGCTGCATAGCAGGAAGCTATGTTTTGTTTCAGGTCATGGAGAAGACTCTTTAAATAATAAATAAGTTTTAAAAAGCCATTGTATTTCAACCTTGAGCCAGGTCAGAGGCCTGATAAGGTTTAGGAAAGATGCTCGTAATTTTCACTTGGGCCTGTTCAGTTCTTTAAAAAAAACCCTAAAATAAACAAAGAAACAAAAAACCAAAACGTAACAGTGAGTAAATAGCATTTGCCATTAGGAAACGAAACCACAAAAGGAGAAATGAGGAAAGCCAAGGAAAAATAGTGGTGGTGGTTGGGTCCCAGAAGGAGAGGGGGCAGCTATGGTGGCAAAGCAGCATCATTTCCATGCAATATTTATTTAGAAAAAATAATAAATATATTGAAATTGTCAAATGTTCTATTTTTAAGATGCCATTTATTTAATAATAGTTGTAAAAGCCACTTTAATGGAGATGGAGATCTCTTCTGTAACTGAAAGTCCAAGTGTGACTGCAATGTCCTTGTTTTTGTCCTCTTCCCTCCTTCTTGGTTCCCATAAAAAATCTGTACATCTTAAACTTATTTTGAGGATGTATGTCCCTCTTGTAAATAACTTTTTCTGCCCTGAGTGTGATGGAGTTTCTGAAGATGGTTGATTCATTCCTATGGGGAAATAAACAATAAATAAAGTAGCCCTTGTGTTCTCAGCTTCTTGTAGAGAAATTGTAATTTGCCTTTTCTCCCTGAGTGGTCATAGGGCTTCCCTTCTGAATGAGGTTTAAGCATCAATTCCTGTACAAGAAGTCACTGTTTCGGTTGCTCTCCTGTTTATCACCCCTTGCCCTTTCCTCTAGGAACAAGATCAGGTGCAAATGAGATGCTCGGAGTGGCAGGAGGGTCACGCCTCAAGACATTTGCCTCCTGTCTGCGCAAAATGGTTCAGCGAGGACTGTGCTGGGGTCAGCAACAGCCTGAGTGTGCGCTGACAGAAAAACCCCACACGGGTTGATCTCCCTCGGTCAAGCAAGTGAATTAAGAAAACAAGGAGATAAGGCGCAGAGATGGTGACTGACGCGTGCTGCTCCACATTTTCCACAGGGGTGTTGTAGGGCTCGCTGCTGGGAGGAGGGTGCGCTCAGGGCTGGTTTGTGGATACGTCAGGGGGCCGGTTAGCTCAGTGGTTTGTGCGCGGTGCTGGCAATAAGGATCAACACCGAGGCCGCGGGTTCGATTCCCGCTCGGTCCCCATGTGTTGCCAGGTCTAGTCGAGAGGTGGTGTCCCTGCCCAAAACAGGGAGGTTGGACTAGATGATCTCTAAGGTCCCTTCCAGCCTAGGCCATTCTATGATTCTGTGATTCTGAGTTGCTGCGAGGAGGATTTCATGCCCTGGGGTAGCTCTGCAACAGGCATTGCACCCAAGATACTTAGTAAAGAGGATGCCATTTTCTAAAGTGGTGTGTAAATTGTAGAGGATACTGGAACCTGGTTTAATCCCTACGAGATATGTTCTTGTTACAGATGTATAGAGAAATGTACATTTTGGGGAGGGGTCAACGCGTGCTTGAAATCTCAATGGCAAAATCAGTATTTGAAGTAAGAATAAAAGGAGAAAATTCCTAGTCAGTCAAAAAAAAAAGAAAAAAATGAATCATCCCCAGATGAGCACCTGGTGGGACTTTTAACTACAGAGTAGCCAGGAGGAGCTTGGTGATGCATTTGTTGGGGCGAGGCAGGACTGGGGCTCACTTCACTGCCATCAATGTGTGTTTCAAGTGTGGTGAAACCAAGTGAGCCCCAGGCTGGTTGAAAGATATATGGGAGTACAAAAAGAGGGTGGGAAGATGGCTTGTGGTTGTGGCCATGCGTACGTGGATTAGGTGTCTGTTTTGGTGGGGTGCAAGAGGTAGGTGGACACGAGCCGTCCCCTCTGCTGGCCAGGGTGGAGCTGCTTTTCCTGGGTCACTTGCATCCTCTCTCCCAATATTTCCTTCCCCCTCGCACCCCGGAGCAAGGTTTCCTGAACGTGGAACATTGGTCTTAAATCCGTTAAATGATCTTTGTCCCATGGGGAGTGACTCGCCAGTCCTGCCTCTCACAGCAGCTCCTCACATGCTGGGACGCAGGAGTGGCCTGGGCACGACGTCTTGGAGCCCCACGGAGAAGTGAGGATGCCAAACCTCTTGCAAAGTGCAGTCTGCAGTGCGAAAAGATGTGCAAGTGAGGGGAGGGGACTGACGTGTTTGGCTTCAGCACTGCATCTGCACTCCAAGGCTTCTGTGAATTAGAAGTACATGCCTTTTACAGTTCTTGAAAAAGACGAAAATCAGATCTGTGATACAGCTTAAAGAAAAAAAGTAAAAAAAAAAATCTCCCCGAAGAAGTAGCGCCACTGATCTCCTTTG